CCCCCTTCCCCGACATGTAAGGTTGCAGCCGCCGTCTTAAATGAGTAAAATTGTTCAATCCAGGTGTAAAGGCATCTACATTACACGAAGAAGCTCGCGGTGGCCAAGAACTTTTCACCTAAACTGTGTTGATGTAGGCGTAAAACATTATATAATATTAGATAGACAGAGAGAGAGATAGAAAGATAGATATATAGATAGATAGACAGACAGACATATAGGTAGATGGATAGAGTAGGAATTCAACACTCACCTGCGATAGCGAGATTGAGGATGAACAAATGCATGCGTGACTTTCGAGACTTCGTCACCCCAATCGCCACAATGACCAGAGAGTTGCCCAGAACTATCATGGTGAACAGGATGTAGAGAAATGTCAGCTGTTCCTCCTGGGGAAGACAGAAAAACAATATAAAAATAGTATAGGTTTAACGCCCCTATCAACTACTTTACTCTACTTTTTACTTTTTTAAAATTACTTGTTCGTCCTCTCCTGCCGTGAAGCGTCGAGGGGAGATGCAGTTTTCTATGGTAGGCCAGCTCCGGAGCTCTTTCAGCCTCTTTCAACAATATTAGGTTGTTTAAGAGGCGGGACCTCCAGGTTTCAGGTTCATCTCCTTAGGTGGTAATATTTCGATTCAACCATGCATTGTTTTGTCAGACATTCGTTACCATGGAGAACGCAGCCATCTTGAAAAATAAACCAAAAAAATGCATACAATTTTTTTATTTTTTTTTTTTGGGGTACATCGCCATTCCTACAATTTTTACTCTTTGGTAATTTTTCCGATTGAAATGTCTTCTAGTGCCCCTATCAACGCTGTGAGGTTATTTAAGAGGTGGAACCTCCGAGTTTAACGTCCACATCCGAAAGGACCGAGCCAAGTGAGACATTCGTGCAAATTGCCTTTCCCAAGGACACAACGTCGGACCGACCTGAGGCTGGAACCCCCGAACCCACAACCTCATGATTACAAGTCAAGTGCCTAACCATTAAGCCACCGACGCCACCATTGAAAATAAAACAAAAGACGGAATGTTACAGATCAGGGTGGGAGGTTTGGCGGGGGGG